ATGTTGCAAAACATTACACTGCCTCTGTTTTTCATGTTTTTAACGTTCTTTTCAGATGAGTAGTGAGTGTCACACACACACTGTCACCAATCCTGCACTGTACTTTTATCAAAAACAGTTTAAATTTAAGGATTTAGAATTTTGACCTTCATACTCCTTACAGATATTTCATTTTCAAATGGGACATACTACAGAGAAGTTCAACAGTTCAAATTATTTGGATTCTAAATAAAGGTTATCAACAATATCTTACCAGTTATAGATAAAATTGGTTAAGTTGCCTTTTTTTGTAAAGGAAGAACCTCAGTTTGAAGAAACAGAGCTTAAATTTGACCCGATAAAACCTGAAGTGGACATATTCTGCTTTTAAATCCTTCCTTTTCACATTTAAACCAATCAGTTGGGGTCTACATGAAGATGAACTGCAATGCTTTGGTCTGAATCACTGGTTATTGTAACCACAAGCTCCTCTTTTCACCTCTGATCGGAGTTGTGTCTCAGAGCTGTCTCTTTAAATGCTAATGAGGCACTTCACACCCCCCGCTCCACCTCCCAATTATTATTGTTCACCCCACCTCGTTTGGCCATTTTTAGTTTGATGGCAGAGATACAATTATTTAGTGGCGCTGAAAGTTTTTATTTGGAAATTAATTAAAAATGTCAACGAGGGAAGACTTGTCCATCCAGCCTTACATGTTGGAACCAGAGGAGAATCAAGATGACACACTTGATTAGCTGGAAGTCCATGACCTTATTTAGTAGTTCTGCAGCAAACTCTGTGACGTTATTGTTCAAAAAACTTAATCAAGAATGGGTTAAAAATACGACCCAAACAGAATATAAAGATGTCTTTGTGGCACCAGAAAAGACAAAATTCAACTTTAGCTCCTCAAAGTACACAACAAAATGTATTTAAGAGCTAAAAATGTGAACTTTGCATGATATGTCCCCTTTAATGGCTAATTCGAGCTGAGCTAAGACCAAATGTCCTCTGTATGTAACAAACACAGAATTGTGACAGTACACTGAAAAGGGAGCATCAGTTATAGTAGAAGTAGCTGAGAGTTATTTATAAAAGAAAATAATAATTTGAGTTGGACATTTCACAATTATTAAATGACATTGTGCATAAATTTATTTTTAGGTTTGACCAAAATGTCTCCAKCTTTATCATTTCTCAACATAAGATGATCTCRGTCTTTGGCATAAAAGCTGTTTGTGATATTATTATATTCCTTCCAGGAATGTTTGGCCCTTCAGTTTTTGATGACGACTATAGACAACCCCAAAAAATTACCATTTGCACTTTTTTTGTCTAATGAAGGTAAGCCAATTTGACAATGTCTACTTTACCACAATATACGTTGACACAGAACAAAGCACACATTTGTTTTTACCATTTCTTCAGGCTCTGTCTGCAGACATTTCATAAATCACAGATCTGACATAGGAGCATCATGCCAGAATCATGCCACATCACCATATGTCCTCCTCTGCCCTGAAGTCAGTTCCATCTGCTAACGCACACACAAGTGCAAACAAATACTTTGACAAAGACACAACCAAAGACACAAGTTTCTGATACAAGTTTCTGACTCGTCTGCAACTCGTCTCTCTCTTCTTTTCCCTCACAGTTCATATTTCTGCTCTCTGATTTCTGTACAGTTGTCATTTTCCTCAAACTTCCTACCCTTCTGTCCTCCCCTCTTCCTCCTCATCCATATCCTCATCTCTGAAGACTGGCCAGAGGCATGAGAGGGTTTCAGTTCACTGAGCAGAAACCCTGCACCACTCCTCCTCCTCCTCCTCCTCCTCAACCACTTCATCTCTCGTCCTTCTGCTGTCATGCGAATAACTGAGAAAAGAAGCGAGTGGGAATTGGAAAAAAGGACAAACAAAGGACACTTTGGTCATTGTAAACTTCATGTCCCATGATGCCATTCTCCATGGGGAGGAGTGGGTCTTTGCTGCTTAGCAACACTGGGCCCTAAGCCAAATGGTGCTCTGTGTCTTTCTGAAACGTTCCTGTCAGCAGTCTGCTTCTTACTGGATCTATAAGTGAGAACAAACAGGAAGAAGCTGATAACTAACATCATCTTCATCACTTCACGACAACAGGGTGAGTTTGAAGTTGTTGCAGAAGCAGGGGCATTTGTCAAAAATAAAATAAGTCTTTCACAGTTTTGGGTCTGCAGATGTTATAACAATAAAATGAAAAAAAAAGTAGATGGTAGAAAATTGCTACCTCCTTGTTTTTTTTTGTTTTTTTTTTGACTCTCAGAAATCTTTGTTTTACAACATTTTGACAGATGTTTATAATGTGTTTTATTTGCAATATTACACATTAAATGAATAAAACTTTCTAAACTCAAAATGTTGGTTGTCATCTCATTTCAAGCTTGGGTTCTTCTCCATAGGTTTGTGGACAAGAGCTAACAATTGTCACAAGACAACTGTGCACCACAAAGCATGGTCTTTATGGAAGAGCGGCAAGARGAAAGCTGTTGTTGGAAGAAAGTTATAAGAGATCCTGCTCTTGGGGTTAGGTACAGCTCAAAATCAGTAGCTTTTTCAGCATAAAACATTATTAAAGAAAACAGTCTTAACAAGAAATGGATTTTGAACAGATGTTTCTGCCTAAACCTTACATAAGAAGTGTGCTAAGTACAACTTCACAATCTCTGCAAAAGTCTTTAAAAGCTAAATTGACCAGCCAGACCGGACCAGTCTGGATTTGTTTTACTGACCGATCATCGGAACTGCAGTTTGAAAACTTTAAGACTTGGTGAGTTCAATTTTACTTTGTTTAGTAAACTTTCAGCAGCTGAAGAGAATATATACACCAGCATTCRTCAACTAATTAAATATGTCGCAATACTAAAAGTGACAGGTGCCACGCCCCTTTAGGGCGGGACATCCTACAGGAAGGAATGACCGGAAGTTGACCATATACGGATGTCCCGCCCTAAAGGGGCGTGGCACCTGTCACTTTTAGTATTGCGACATATTTAATTAGTTGACGAATGCTGGTGTATATATTCTCTAGCTGATACAGTAACTATCAGCACACAGTACGATTAAATCGCTTTGGACAAAATGAAATGCTTTAGTTAGTTGTGGGAATCTGTCATTTGTAATTTATTCTGACTTGTATAAATAAGTTACCAGTCTTCAACAAATAGACATAACAATTTGAGTAGACATTTCTGAGTAGAATCAAAAGAAAAGCATAGGTTAGAATAACTAAAAGAAACAATTTTTACAAAAGTAATATTAAGTTGGTTCAATTTAGTGAAACTGGTAAAGGACAAACYGAATCATGCTGCTTGTACTAAAATAAATGAGTTGGTCTAGGCAAGTCTTGTGGCATTTACTGGCTAAGTTTAAATAACTTTAAAAGATCTACGCAAATTGTTACATCAGTTTTTTTTAGTTGAGCTACTACATTATTTTTTAGAGAAGACACAGCAAACGTGGAACAAGGCAAGATGCTCAGATTTGACCGAAACTGAACTTATTGTTCTCAAACCCCAAGGGTTTCCTTGAAGTTTGTGCTTGAAATAACACACCCAAATGTAAATGATTACATTATACAGTGTATGAATCTTTTTAAAATGATCATGAAGAAGGCTAAAAAAAACCTCATGGAATCCATAAATCCATCCATCATTTTCTAACCCCTTCGTCCTGTCAGGGTCACAGTCACAGTAGTCACTGTGCGAAGGGGCAGGGTACACCCTGGACAGGTCACATGTCCATCACAGAAACACACGAGACAAACCGAAGCACCCTGAGAAAACCCACGCATGCATGGAGAGAAGATACAAAAACTACCCAGAAAGGTCCCGGGCTGGGATTTGAGCTCTACCAACTGATCCACTGTGCCGCCTCCATAAATCCAGTTATACAAAAGTTCAATTCTGCCCTAAGTACCAGCGGCATGGTGCTTCAGATGCTAAATGCAGAACATTTTTGCAGAAAATTACTAGTGACCCTGAACTCATCATCCCTAGTAACACATGGTGGTGGTAGCATCACACTGTGGAAATGTTCGGCTTCAAGAAGGACAAGGAAATTTGACCAGGGTGGGAAGATAGATGTGGCTTAATATGCAGGAAAATCTGTTAGAGGCTGCAAAAGATTTAAAACTGGGTGGAAATCCACTGTCCAGCAGGATGGCGGATCCCAGGAACAACCCCAGAGATCTCAGTCCAGAAGCAGCCAAAACACTGTGCAGAAMCTTCAGGCTCCCAGGACTCTGTCAGAGGAAGTCTGGAGTGAAGTGGAACCACCCATGTTGTTCCTTTATCCTCCCTGCCTCCTTCAGCTTGCCCTGTTTCACCCTGTTTCTCACCAAAGGTGTAACCCTCCACTTCTCCTCCCGAAGTCATTTCTATGTTAATGAGTCTTCTTGAGAGATAAAGTATAGGAAGCCAGGGCCTTGGACACACACACACACACACACACACACACACACACACACACACACACACACAGACTGAGGAAAGGCAAGCAGGAATGGTTGGTAAGACCTGTCACTGTTCTCTCGTTTGATATTCATTTTAATCTTGTTTTGCCTCAAATTGTTTGCTTTTCTTGATGTTTTCTTTAGTCAGTACAGCCCAAACCCATTCCAGCAGCACAACAGCACCTGTCAGTCACCTAACTCCATCTTTAGGCTGATTACAGTCTGTAAATCTGCTGAAACAAACCTGAAAACCCCTGTGGCTAAGAGGGGTTTGATCACTCAKGTAAGAAACATTGTCCACTCGCCTGTGATTCATAGGATCGGCCTTTATATTGTTGTTGAAGTGTAAGAATATCTTTTACTTTCATCTTCATACCTGTGAATTTTAAAGGAAAATAGAAGAAATCTAACCAGTGAAGAAAACCATTTAAAAACAATAAAGGTCTAAGATTCTTTGAAAAACTTGTATTTCCTGCTGCCTTTAAGCTCRTGTTTTTAAACAAAGATCATCTTATGATGTGAAATGATGGAGTTAAAGTCATTTTGGTTCAACTTTATGAATGACTCTCAGTAATGACCACAGATTTTAGCTTAATATCTGTAAACTTGAGATGTAACCTTTTTTATATTGCCTCAAAGTGTAACAACCAAGGCTATTTACAGACAGCAAAAACCAAAAAGGTGTTAAGATTGAGCTCATTAAACAAACGTTTGTCACACATATGCAAAATTAAGCAACATGCAAAAACTAGTCAACTAAAATGGACGTGACCATTTTTGTGTAAAAAAATAACCATTTTCATTTGTAAATGGGCAGTCAGATGCTCCATGTTTCAATTTTTGCACCCATTGTGGGCAGGGCTTCATCCAATTCAGGGTAATAATCTTTCTTGCAACTGTAACAAGTGAGTAAATCCTTTGGATGTATGTCCAGCAGAAATAAGAGGGTMTGAGGTAAGATCTGTCTTTACACTGTCCTCAATCTTCTGGTTAATGTTCTCCCCCAAAGGTCCTCATTTCCAGGCAATCCCAAAATGTGTGTGGTCAAAACGTCCATACAGAACAGAAATTAATTTCTTAAACTTGAGAATTTCAAAAGTATCTTTCGGAATCGCTAATGTCAGTAGCTGTGGTGGCCATCTTGATTTGATGTGACTCCAAAAGTTAGTCAGTTGTAGGTTTACATCCAGTAATTAATTTTTTGAGAATCTCCTTCAAATTAGTTCAATGGCTCATGAGATATYTTGCTAACAGACAAACTTCCAGTTAGTAAAAATGTAATGTTGCAGATGTAGCACCAAGGGTATGTGTCAGCGATGACAGTCAGCTACTACCACRCCAAATTTAAGCTCTGTATTCYCTAAAAGTAGCATTTTTTGTTTGTTTGTTTCCTGGATCAGTTGGCGGCCATCTTTAACTGAGCTGACTGCAAAACTTAATCAGGTTCAGATGTAGTATGTCTGATGAAAACATTCGGGAAATTTAAATAAAAATCCATCCAGTGGTTTGTGAGATATTTTGCTAACATTGCAGACAAACACGCGGGTAAAAACGTATCACTCCGCCTGGCCTCTGGCGGAAGGAGACAACAAAAACACACCAAACAGAACGAGCCGACAGGGTGGTGCTAATGTCATCTTTGTTTTTGGTGCTGCTTAAAGAGCAAACACACTGATCTGATCAATCACTTGGTTTATTAACACACACACACACACACACACACACACACACACACACACACACACACACACACACACACACACACACACACACACGTCATGCAGTGTGTAAAGCGGCGCGTGGAACGCAGAGCACCTTGTGTTGCAGGCCCTGCTGGAGTGGATTCATTAAAAACGGTCTGTGGCTCTTTAAGTGGCGTCTCTGCTTCTCTCCCGGGCGCGATTCTCCACGCATCACTTGCCAATCTTTCACTCCCCCTCTCTTCTCACTAATCAGTGCGGTGCAGGGGCTGCCGGCGCTGCGCTGCCAGATGAATGGGTGGAGGAGAGAGGGAGAGGAGGAGGATCCAGGACCAGGACCGAGGACAGCGACAGGTTCAGCACCACGGACAGCTCCCCAAAGGAAGCGTTCACGTTAAGGACTGACAACCTCTTTTCTTTTCTTTTCTTTTCTTTTCTTTTCTTTTCAGTTGGGTTGTTGATGCTTCTGATTACACGATGTTTACAAAGACACATGTCTTCACGTCGGCTTAAAAGGGACAGTTCAGCTATTTTGAAGCAGGGTTCTGCGGAAACGTTCTGACAATTATCTTATATTACAAATCTGATCTCAAACATTATACAGCGGCTCATATGAACACTATATACTTTAGAAACTTTACAAGCATAAATAGCGACAGCAGCTAGCTGTAGCACTTCCAACAGGAACATAGGTACTGCAAGCAAAATCAGTGTCAAATGGATGAGCCAAGACCCACTTTCAAAATAAAATGACTGTATCTCCATTCAGGGGCTGCACTCCTGGTAGGTCACATTGAAGCTTGATTACATCACTGCACCATACTGTACTGTATGTCCCTTTTCATGGGTTGCTGCAGCCAACAAATATGGCCCRCAAAACCCTGGAAACGTGGGCTGCACCCATGGCCGACAATATGTGCCGTTAGCAAACGGTGCAGTTTGAAAACTATAGACCAAAGAATTTGTTTTTAAATATGTTTAGCTGTTTAGTTTAAATTTTATTTTTACTTTTCTGCTGCAATTAAATGTTAAATAATAAGTAGTTACAAGTACTGATACTGGAGCTAAACCCAAATTATTAGTTGTTTTTATTCGTTAAAACTTTTTTAATAATATGTTGAATTTTGTGACATTTTACTATCTGAGAAAGCCCTAACCCTAACCTCCCATGTTGCAGAGCCGACTCTTGGCATAGGCGAACTAGGCGGTCGCCTAGAGCGCCATCTGCTGGAGGGCGTGCCAAACTGCAGAAGAAAAAAGTAATTATTTGTAATCCCTGGTTGTAACTCTGCTCAGAGCCTCTTTTCTGTAAGCTTTGTCTTAAAAAACTATAATGAAGTATTACAGGAAAAATAACCACTCTACCCATGAAAGATTTTCTCTTCCCCAATGCGGCAATCGCCTCCACCCTCTCTCTCTCATTTGAGTGACGTTGCACTGCAAAGGAGAGCGGAAAATGTTCAAAACTTAGTTCTACCGGCAGAACAGGTTGGAAGACGGCTATTTAATGTTTTATATTGGTTTTTAAATCATCCTACAGGCTCTKATATGTTAGATRAATTTGAAAATGAGGTTTTGAAATATCTGTAAGACTTGAAAAAACCTGTGAGATTGCTCTATACATCCGTATACCTGCAAAATGACATAAAATCCTTATAACTTACGGACAATCTGTACAAGTTGACATGTATGTTGCTATTTTAATCTGTTTTCCATAGTACCTTACACTGTCAAACTTGTTTTTAGGGGTTCAAATTGGGGTGGGTGGGACATAGTTCGGG